GGCTATCAATGATACAAATATCTCTGCCTAGGGCCCCAAAATTTCTTCCCTAGCTTCCCACAATGTTCTGGGATACATTTGATCAGGTCCCAGGGATTTATCTGCCTTTATGCATTTTAAGAACTCCAGCACCACCTCTTCTGTAATGTGGAATCTTTTCAAGACTTCACTATTTATTTCCCTGAGTTCCTCAGCTTCCATTGTCTTTCTCCACAGTAAATACTGAGGTGAAATATTCATTTAGTGTCTCAACCATCTCTTGTGGTTTCACACATAGATGGCCTCTTTGATCTTTAAGGGGCCCTATTCTCTGTCTAGTTACTCTGTTGCCCTTAATACACTTGAAGAATCTCTTCGAATCGTCCTTAACCTTATCTGCCAAAGCTATCTCATGGCCCCTTTTTACCCTCCTACTTCCCTCTTAAGTGTACTCCTAGACCCACTTTACTTCTCAAGGGATTCACTTGATCCCAGGTGTCTAGACCTGGTATATGCCTCCTTCTTTTTCTTGACCAGAGTCTCAATATCGTTGGTCATCCAGCGATCCCTACTCCTGCCAGCCTTGCCCTTCATGTGAGCAGGAAGATGTTGTCCATGAACTCTCATTGTTTCCCTTTTGAAAGCCTTCCATTTGCCAGATGTCCTTTTACCTATGAACAGCCTTTCCCAATCAACTTTTGAAAGTTCCTCTCTAATACCATCAAAATTGTCCTTTCCCCAATTTAGAACTTTAATTTGTGGACCAGGACTATCCTTTTTCATAGTTATTTTAAAACTAATAGAATTATGGTTACTGGTCTCAAAATGATCCCCCATGAACACCTCAGTACCTTGCCCTGTGTTACTTCCCAAGAGGAGGTCAGGTTTTGCCCTTCTCTACTAGAGCCATCTATATATTGATTGAGAACATTTTCTTGAACACACTTAACAAATTCATCCTCATCCAAGCCCTTAACACTACGGCAGTCCCAGTCTATGTTTGGAAAGTTAAAATTATTACAACCTATTAGTCCTACAACTATCTGCAATCTCCCAAAATTTGCTCCTCAATTTCCTGCTGACTATTAGAGGGGTAATAGTACAATCCCATCAAAGTGACCACCTCTTTCCTATTTCCTCAGTTCCATCCACAAAGCTTCACTGGATGATCCCTCGAAACTGGTAGGATTAGAACCCAGGCCTTCTGGTTCAGAGATAGGAATACTACTGCTGTGCCACAAGAGCCTTTATCACACCATCTGGATTTTTATTCCATTTAGTGCTGTGGCAGGATTCAAACCTTACATTAACTTGGGCCTTTGGATTATGAGTCCAGTGACGTTACCACTACACCACCAGCTCCCCCTAAAAATGGTGGGTATGTTGGTTTTTATACAAATGATAGGGTGGGGGAAGGGGGTATTGAGTAAATTGAAGGTGGAGATAGAGCCCAAAGAGAACAGTTGAACTGACAAAGGAGTGGATAACGATCAGGCTGGAAGGGTGAATAGCTGTTAATGGGGCATGTTAGTGGCTAACAATGGGTTGTGTGTAATAGCAGACTATGTGATAAAAAGGTCTGGTGGGTGAGAGTTGGGATAAGGACGTCAGAGAGCTCAAGCCTGAAAATTGTTGAACTTGATATTGAGTTCAGAAGACTGTAGAGTTCCCAAGCGGAAAATGAGGTGCTGTTGTTCCAGCTTGCGCTGAGCTTCACTGGAATACAGTATGAAGCCTTAGACAGAGATGTTGGCCAGCGAACAGGGTGGTGTGTTAAAGTGACAGGCAACTGGAAGCTCAGGGTCTTTTTTGAGACAGTGTTTCCAGCTGCACATTACTGTCTAGTCATTTTTCCTGGGATCTGAATGAGTGGTTGGAAGGAATTTAGGATTGGGCCTAGTTAGGATTTCACTGCAATTAATTAACATCCAACATCCAAGGTTTTGGTTGTGGTTTTTACGTGAATCTCGACACTTTGATGCTGGTGTTAACATACTGTTAACATCAAGGATACCTAGGCTTTGTTTATAGTGATCACAAAGGAAAAAGGTAGTGCATGACTATTGTGGATCTGTATCACTATATGTTTTGACTCTTTCAGAAGAAGAAGAAACTGGCAAAAATAAAGAAACTATGACTAACACAGATTATTTTTATAGAATTCCTACAGTGTGGAAACAGGCCCTTCAACCCAACAAGTCCACACTAACTCTCAGAGCATCCCACCCGAGTCCATCCCCCTGAAACCCACTTAATCTACACAACTCTGAACACTATGGGCAATTTAGCATGGCCAACCCACCCTAACCTGCACATCTTTGAACTGTGGGAGGAAATCAGAGCACCCGGAGGAAACCCACACAGACAAGTGGAGAATATGCAAACTCCACACGGACAGTCGACCACAGGAGGAATCAAACCCAGGTCCCTGGCGCTGTGAGGCAGCAGTGCTAACCATTGAGCCACCGTGCCGCCTGGAAAAATTGTAGAAACAGTATACGAATTCGATCTATAGAGATTTGCAGCATTAATCTGTAGGTCGCAAGATTGGCTATTGTGAGAATGAAATAAAAGATTTTTAAAATACTGATGACATTTTGAATTCAAAACTTTTTAAAATGTATATTATGGAATACTGTACAGCTTGTTTAATTAGTAAATGTGAAACCGAGAATTATTTCTCATGATTTTAGATTATGAAGAAGGGTCCCGACCCGAAACGTCAGCTTTCCTGCTCCTCTGATGCTGCCTGGCCAACTGTGTTCCTCCAGCTCCACACTGTGTTATCTCTGACTCCAGCGTCGGCAGTTCTTACTATCTCTAAGAAACTATGACTGCTCTAGTTGTTAACTCATTGGGATTATTTGCTCTTTCACTAATTGTACTCAAACTTTTACCAAACTACAGTGTTAAGGTAAGGAGCAGGAGATCTAGAGAGGATAAGAGGAAAAACATTTTCACCTAGAGATGGTGGGTGTCTGGGACTCACTGCCTAAAAGGCAGGAAACCTCAAGAAATGAAATCACGACTTGAAATGCCGCAGAATGCTAGGCTGCGGGCCAAGTGCTGGAAAATGGAATAGGTGGAAACTTGATGACTGATGCTGACATGATGGGCTGAAGGGCCTTTCCCCATGCTGTAAAAATGGTTCTATCAGGTTGAAGCCAGCACCAACATTCATTGTTATCCCACTTGGTACGAAGGTGGGTTCAGGCACGTAACCTTTTTATTTCTCTTCTCTCCCAGTTTGGAGTCACATACTGTGTTGTAATGTACTCTGAGGGAAACTCTATTAAACAACCTGTTGAAGTGGTTCTGCCGACAGACCTGAGTGATTATCGTGGAATGTGCACTGAAAATTCTCTTCGCTCGTTCCCGCCACCTTCCCCTCCCCCTTCCTTCTCCAATCATGCCACGGCCTTGACAACAATGAAAGTGCCACATTGTACCTGCAGGTTCCCACCGAGCTGGGTGGGGTTGTAGGGAATCAGCCACACACTCCACAAAAGGGAGTCACATTCCTCTCAGCATTCAGTACTAAATGTTCCAAATGGACAAGGACAACAGCTCAGGCAAAGCGAGCACGGTAAGTGCTAGACAATGAGTGCCAATCAACCCCTGTAGTCTCTCCAAAGAGGCTTAAGTGCTGGGCCTATCATTAATAGATAAAATTGAGGGGTGGAAAGAAATGCTGGGAGGTTGGCTCTCAATGTGCTATTTTATACTTGATCTCTTTCTAAGAGAAAAAATGATTTCCTACAGTGGTAACTGTGTGAAAAATGCTTCCCTTAAAAGTACACTGTTCTACATTTATTACACAGAATTTCCAGCACAGAAACAAACCGTTAGGTGCAGCAGGTTTATCTAAAAGGTTAATGCTTCACATGAGCCTCCATCTTCTTCCAACTCAATAAATATATCATTTTATTCCTTTCTCTTTCATGTTCTTACTAATTTTACGTTGACTCCAGAGGTCTGATGCTAGTTTAAGCTCTCCTTGTGTCGCACAGCATCTCGGTAGTTAGCACTGCTGCGTCACAGTGCTAGGGACCCCCATTCAATTCCACCTTCGGGCAACTGTCTGTGTGGAGTTTGCGCATTCTCCCCGTTTCTGTGTGGGTTTCCTCCGGGTGCTCTGGTTTCCTCCCACGGTCCAAAGATGTGAAGGTTAGGGTGGATTGGCATTTGGACATAGTGTCCAGGGATGGGCGGCCTGGGTGGGCTAGCCATTGGACATGCAGGGTTACAGGGTTGGGGTTGGTCTGGGTGGGATGCTCTTCAAATGTTGGTATGGGCTGAAAGCCCTGTTTCCACACTGCAGGGATTCTATGAATTACACTGTATGGAGTAGTCAGCTGTGATTATTTACTGGAATTTGAACTCACTTTTGACTGACAAGCAATTTCGCGGCCTTGGCAGCATCGGTGAAGAGAAAATCAGAGATCCTCTGAGGAAGGGTCACCGGACCCGAAACGTTAACTCTGATTTTTTCTTCACAGATGCTGCCAGACCTGCTGAGCTTTTCCAGCAACTTCTGTTTTTGTTCCTGATTTACAGCATCCACAGTTCTTTTGGATTTTAATTTTGCTGCCTTTGTAGGAGATGTAACTCTCCAGTCTCATGGCAGAGGCTTTTAAACTTTTCGGTCTGGGGGTTCATAGTCACCTCCAATTGGTGTGGAGAGTTCATGAGCTGATTGTCATACTTGCCACCATGTATCAAGGGGTTTCTACAATGTGGTTCGTGAGCTGAGAATTTGTGCGTGTGTACACATAGCTCCCTTTTCATTAATTCATTGGAAGTGAGTTAATTCAAAAAGAACCAGCAGCAAAGCTTTAATCTTAAACAAGATAAAGATTACTGTTACAAAGTGCTGTATGAATTACCTTAGTAAAAGTAACCAAGTTATTGACTAAATACGTACAAGGGTAAAATGCAGATAAGGATAAAAAAAACTTATATAAAGTTGAATTTCAAATCAGTTCATCTGGATATTGGAGGTTGCAGTGAAGTGTAGTTACCTGGAGAGAAGGTTTGAGGTTGACATATCGTGCTCAGCAGCTGTGATGGCTTTTGTAGCTGAGTAGTCCAAGTTTGTTTTTGTAGGCAGACTCAGTGGGTAGAGTAAAAAATCCCTTTTCCTTACTGGTTCTGCCGGAGTGACGCCTGGATTCCTTTTATAGGAATGAATTCTCAGCTCCTTCTTCTGTAACTCCTGGTGTCAGAGAGAAAACTTCACTGTCATGTGCTGTTCACAGTTACTTCAGCTGAGAGCTGTGGCCTAGAATTGACTTCACAGGTTCTCCTGAGGTCTCCCCTCAAGATTGCTGGCCAGATTTCATACAGTCAAAACTGAGAACTGCTCCTACATTATTCCAATGAGTCATTGATTCAAAGAAAAGTCAAGGAAGTCAATCAAGCCGGAATCCCTTTGAACTATCTTCCTAACTCCTTGCCGTTATCAAAGTAAATATGACTTTTTTCAATCTTTAGAGGATTCAATTGAGTTGCCTGAGGCTCACTGAATCCCAAATGTCTTTTATGATCTTATTTGAGTTAAGCACAGTCTGGTTCCACCAACTGGATGATCGCAGTTGAATCCATAAGAGAAGTGACTTTTGGTAGCCATGTTTAAAAAGCTTCTTTGTGCCAATTTTATAAGGAGTTTGCAGGTTTTTACAAAACCTATAATATCAAAACTTACATGTTTGTGACAGTCACCAAGATTGAGACCAGTTGCATCTGCTGTATCCCTATTTCCCTGGTTCAAACTTCCTTGAGCTTCACAATGTTGCCTCTCCCTATCTCTGTAAGTTCTCTCAGTTCTACAATATCGCAGAACTCTTATTCCTTTTGTGTACCTTTCCAACTTTGCTCACCTCACCAATGCCTGTTGTGCTTTCAGCCACCAAAGTCTCGAGCTTTGAAACTTCCTGTCTAAATTTCATTATCACCATTCATCCTCTGTTAACATCCTTCTTAAAATGTACCAAGTTTGAAAGTCTATGGTTTATCCATGTCAGCACAGAAGTGAATGTCCTCTTGATATTTGATAAGGAAGGCAGAATGAACTTATGCTTGTGTTTTGTGGAGTCTGTTTCGTTGGCAGCAGATATCAAGAATTAGTAAACAATGTGCCCACAATTACCAACAAGCTGATTGGTGTAAATTTGGAAAATTACCCTGTTTAAAAAAAAGTGAGATTTTGATATAAAGGATCAGTTGCACCTACAAGAAGGGCAACTGGGAATTTATTTCTCAAAAAAGGGATCAAATCAGATGGTCCATTCCAGAATTCCTGCGTGCAATTTCCTGATTGGCGACCCCAATCCCTGTTGAAGGTAGTAAGTCCTTCTGTACTTGTTTCTCATTTGTGAGTGTTGCTGGCTAGGATAGTATTTATTACCGATTCCCAGTTACCCTTGAAAACGCAATGTTGGGCTTTCCTCTTGAGCCCCTGCAAGCTGTTTGTTTTTATTCATTTGTGGGACATGGGCATTGCTGACTGGCCCAGCATTTATTGTCAGCCCCCAACAGCCCTTCAGAAGGTGGTAGTGAGCTGCCTTCTTGAACTGCTGCAGGCCATGTGCTGTTGCTAGACCCAGAATGCCCTTAGGGAGGGAATTCCAGGACACTGACCCAGCAACTTATTTCCAAGTCAGAAGTCACACCATACCAGGTTATAGTCCAACAGGTTTAATTGAAATCACAAGCTATAAATCACAATTTATAGGCAGAGAGAGACCAAGGGCAGAGAGACCAAAAGACCATATAAATGGTGTGAGTAGAGTGTTGAATAATAAGTTCCTACAGGTGATCTGAAGTACTAGATGGTGTGAGTAAAGTGCCAACAGCTGAGTAACAAGCAAAGGGATGACCTATAACCTGATTAAATGAGGCAGAGAGATAATTGCAAAAATTAAATATGAGGTGGTGCTGGAGGCAAACCAAATGACTGGAATAACATAGTAGGTATAAGAGTCGCATGCTGAGGGTCTAACCAAAGTAATAAGTAATCCAAAACTGTACAAACTAATTAAGGTAAAGAGATCATAAAAAATTATCCAGGTGATAGTGACAAAACAGGACAGTAAGGAAGATTTTAGAGAATCAGAACAGTGGGTGGGGTCACATGTGGCATGATATGAATCCAAGATCATGGTTGACACTGTCTTCATGAGTACGGAACTTGGTTATCAGTTTCTGTTCGACCATTCTGCATTGTTGTGTATCTCAAAGGCCACCTTGGAGGACACTTAACCAAAGATTGGAGGCTGAATGTTCTGCTGAAGTGTTCTCTGACTGGGAGCGAACATTTCTGTCTGGTGATTGTTGCGCGGTGTCCATTCGCCTGTTTTCGTAGCATCTGCATGGTCTCACCAATATACCATGTTTCAGGGCATCCTTGCCTGCAGCACATGAGATAGACAATATTGGATGAGTCACCTAAGTATCTGCTGTGTACGTGGAGGGTGGTGTTCCTACGTGTGATGGTAGTGTCCATGTCGATGATTGGACATGTCTTGCAGAGGTTGCGTGGCAAGGTTGTGTGGTGTTGTGGTCAATGTTCTCCTGGAGGCTGGGTAATTGCTGCGAGCAATGGTCTGTTTAAGGTTTGGCGGTTGTTTGAAGGTGAAAAGTAAACATGTAGGGATGATCTTGGTGAGATGCTTGTTGTCATCGTTGACATTTTGAAGGCTGCAAAGAACATGGCATAGACCCAAGGCATGTGACTCTTATATCTATCATGTTATTCCAGTCATTTAGTTTGTCTCCAGCACCACCTTATTTTTAATCTTTTGTAATTATCTCTCTGCCTCATCTTATCAGGTTATAGGTCATCCCTTTGCTTGTTTTTAAGCTGTTGATACTTTACTCTCACCATCTAATACTTTGAATCACCTGCAGGGACTTATTATTCAGCACTCCACTCACACCATTTGTATGGTCTTTTGATCTCTCTGCACTTGATCTCTTTGCCCATAAATTCTGTGTTCTGTCTGCTCCTCTCTCACTTCACCTGATGAAGGAGCAATGCTCCAAAAGCTTGTGATTTCAAATAAACCTGTTGGACTATAACCGGGTGTCATGTGACTTCTGACTTTGACCACTCTAGTCCAACACTGACACCTCCACATCAAGTCAAGATGGTGAGTGGCTTGGAAGGGAACTTGCAGGTGATGGTGTTCCCATGCATTTTCTGCCTCTTGTCCTTCTAGACGGAAGTGGTTGTGTGTTTGGACAGTGTTATTGGTGGTGACAATATGCTCTTGAGTTGGGAATTCCAGGGTTTAGAACCAGCAACAATAAACAAAGGACGGATACACGTCCCAGATAGGTTGATATACAAAGGGAACTTAGAGGCAATGGCTCCCTATGCATCTGTTGCCCTTGTCTTCCTAGAAGGCAGAGTCTGCATTTTCGGGAAAGTGCTCATAGAAAGTTATACCCAAAGACGTTTACTGCTCTGAAATATTTCTTTTTACATAACATTATGGCACGTCATTCCTATTATCACATCAAAAGAAGATTGACAACCATACAATACTTAATCTTCGATTACTTTTCATCAAAGAATCCTGATTTACCTATGACAGAAAACTTGGTTCATTGCAAAGAGAAGCTTTGGGTCAGATTGATCCAGTCAGTGAGACTGTTATAATCTCTGATTCTTGCATTCTCTGGCTGTTAGACTGATGAATGCACAAAGCACACTTCTGTTTGAGTTTGAAAGTACAAAGATAAAAGAAAATAAAAAGAAATGACTTGGAACCTTCATATCTGCCAAGGCAGCAAACCGCACTGGTGGTAGGTACTTGTGGTGGCAATGAATTTCTTCTTCCTCCCTAGTCCAAGGTCTCCAGCTGGCTTCAGTTGACCTTATTGAATAAAGACAGTCGTTGTGCAGCAACATAATAGCTGTTGACTATTTTCTCATCCTGCACCCATCCACCCCCACACCCCAATGGGTTTCCTTGCCTTTCTGAATGTATTGATTCAGGCTGGAGATTGGAGACGAGTCCTTGGGCCTTGAACTAACAATCGTCCTTCAATTATGGGCAAGGCAGTGAGGATCAACAGACCATATAACTCTGAAGGATGTCACAGCCATGCCTGATCCAGTGATGACACTCCTTTCCCCAGTGCAAGTATTGGGATCCACCCAGTCTGTTTTTGAGCAACTGGTTAATTTAAAGTCAACCTAGTCATTGAGATAATGAAGCTAACAAATAACACTTGCAGATAGAGGATAGCAGTTGTATCAATGCTCTTTGATCTGAGTCAGAAGGTTGTGCATTACACACCTCAGTGCAAGTTTCCACTGAAGTGCAGTACTGAAGGATGCCTGTATTCACTCCGGTGCAGTACTGAAAGATGGCTGTATTCACTCCGGTGCAGTACTGAACATTGCCTGTATTCACTCCG